AACTGATACTGAGCACTAGAACACAGTCACATTCTTCAAACACCCAAAGAGGTTTAGAAAGGGACCTAGAAGGATATGCCTACACTGTGGCTCAGAGCGAGCTTCCCAACTCAGGCAGACAAACTCATACTAGCTCGGCTAAAAATAGCAGTGTGACCGTTGTGGTGTGGGCAGCAATTTGGTCTCAAGCCCACCTGACCCTGGGCTTTGAGCTCTAGCGGCTAGCTCAAATCTTTGCTGAAGCTGCAACATTCACACTATATTTTTAGCATGCTAACTTGAGTCGAGACAACATGAGTCTGTCTACCCGGGCTGGGAGGCTCGCTCCCAGCTGCAGCATAGACATAACTGAAGAGTACAGACTCTTCTGAAATATGAACCTGTGAGTCTTGAGGTAGTGACTACAGAATCTAAAACTATGTTTTTCTAACTGTGAAGTTGGTGTTTTGGAGAGATTCTCACTTCTTCTTGGAGAGCTGCAACAAAACTCAGGTAAAATTTGACACAGCCCATAACTTTCATAAGGAATTTACTGCCAGAGGTTATCACCAGGCTTAGTAAATATCAAAAAAGAATTAAATGCTTGTGACAAAGTTACAGGAATGGCAACTACCATTACACTAACTTGGATACAGATGACACCTGCTTGTGTTGAGAAGAAGTTTCCTTTCCACTGTATAGTACTGCACAATTAGGCACCGTATTAGTAATTTTCACCACCGCTTAGAACATTTAGCATTGTTGGTGCCAGGATATAAGAGTAGCCAGAGCCTAGGTGTGTTCTTCTACAGCAACTTGTATGTTCCTAACAAGGCTGGGGGATGGAAACGTTCAGCATGAAGTAGGCTGAGTCCTAAGAAGAAATTCATAACCAACAAAGAAAATTAAAGAATTGCTCTTATAACATGTTGAAAGTTATCTTCCCAACTGGTACTATTTTTCTTTCTTCAAACAATAGGAGTAAGACCTTACTGAAATTTTAAAAAATATATATCAATATTGTGACAAAGTTCCTCCTCTACTTTGGAGGGTCTTCGCTTATTGGCGGATTTGCTCGCCTTGGAGCTTCACAGCAGCCCTCAGTTTGGCTGTTTTCGTGAACCCACAGTCCAGGTCAACTTCTCCTGTGTCTGACCAGGAGTTGGGAGGTTTGGGGGGAACCCGGGCCCACCCTCTACTCCGGGTTCCAGCCCAGGGCCCTGTGGAATGCAGCGGTCTAGAGTGCCTCCTGGAACAGCTTTGCGACAGCTACAAATCCCTGGGCTACTTCCCCATGGCCTCCTCCCAACATCTTCTTTATCCCCCCATAGGACCTTCCTCCTGGTGTCTGATAATGCTTGTACTCCTCAGTCCTCCAACAGTATGTGTTCTGACTCTCAGCTCGTAGCGCCTCTTGCTCCCAGCTCCTTACACGCGCATCACAAACTGAAGTGAGCTCCTTTTTCAAACCCAGGTGCCCTGATTAGCCTGCCTTAATTGATTCTAGCAGCTTTTTTATTAGAACACCTGCAGCCAATCAGCCTGTCTGTCTTAATTGTCTCCAGAAGATTCCCGATTGTTCTGGAATCTTACTTGTTACCTTACCCAAGGAAAAGGGACCCACTTAACCTGGGGATAATATATCTGCCTTCTATTACTCTCCTGTAGCCATCTAGCCCAACCTTGTCACAATATCTACATCTTATCCTAGGGGAGAAATTTTACATCAAATCTGAGAAACTTTGATCCGAAAGAAAAAGTGAAAACTGTAGGCTGTTAGTCTGCGTGACATCTCCCTTAATCACATGGAGTAACATTTCACAATTGTTTAAAAAGGTCAGTGTGACCCAGGGACCTCTTGGTGCCAATTTGCAGAGAGCACAGGGGTGCATAAGAGGATCGGTGTGTGAGAGTCTGGTATTTACATACTAATTCACCACAAAGTGTCATGTAAGGTCTCTAATGAAAGCCTGTGTCACACTGGTCATCATAATCATTATGAAATGTATATATTGATAATACATGAGTTATGTATATACACTGAAAATCATGTTCTTAAGGTCTATGAGTTAAGGCAGATGATAAGATGATCCATAAGATGATCTACCTACTCCTGTCAGGCAGGAGGGAAGAAATGCCTATCCCTCTTTGTCTGGTCATGTGCGTACTGTCTGCTTCGCAATGGAAGCCTGTCTAGAGTCTGAGCTGAATGTTAATCAAGAGATTGTAAAAAACAAGAAAGAAGCACACAGGAAAAATCAACTAGAGGAGAGGGGGGAGGGTTGTTATCCTGTTTATAAGTCATGAGAAGGGATTTTTGGATTATAACTGTAGAGACAGAGACAAACTCTGCATCTTTCACCTAGGAAGTAAGCGGACAGTGGGGTTGCTTCATGAATGGAAGATCTCAGCCAAACCTGGTTGTAATATCCTGGAAGGATTTTAGGTGAGCTTTTATTCTTATAGCATAATGTCCTCTTAGTTAAGTTTAGGCTCTAGTATGCACATTATGGTTTTATTTTATGTGTAACCCTTTGTTTCCAATAGCTGTGCTTGCTATAATTTGAATCTCTGTTCTTTGTTAAATAAACTTATAGTTGCTTTCTCTATAAAGAAATCTAATTGCTGTGGGCTAAGGTGTAACCAGTAAGATGTGGTATACACTTCCTTTGGGAACAGCAGGTCTGGTAATTCTGTGAGTATCCAATAGATCAGGGGCAGTACACTGCAGAGGGAAGCTCAGAGAGCTCAAGAGTTGGAGTATGCCTGCTGGTACCTGTGAAGAGAGAGTAGAGCTTGATTAGGCCTGGAGGGGTGTGGTTTTGTTGTGGTGGAGTCCGAGAGATGACCCTGACAGGCACAGACAAGGTTTCCTCATGCTAAGGGCAGGAGCTGGCGAGGTGCCTCACAACCCTGGGTATCCCCAGGAACCATCACAGGTCACATGGGAATTATTATTATTCCTTTTGTATTGCAGTAGTGCCAAGGAGTCCAAGTCACGGACTAAGACCCTGTTGTGTTAAGCACAAATCAAACACAGAACAAAAAGCCCCCAAAAGACCCAGCCCCATCTGCATTTGGGCTGATCCTCTCTAAAAGCAAGACATCCATGTGAATTTAGTAGTTGTGGGTAGTGTCAGAATTTATAGAGACGTGAAGACTGCAGCATCAGTTAACCACAGAACCAGAACAGCAAGGGCAGCAGCAGTTCAACCTTTCTGATACTGGTCCACCCTTGCTCTAGGGTTACACACTGGGCGGGATTGGAATTTAGTTTCCATGGTGCAGTCCATCTTTCACCTCTTTGCTAAAAGTGCCCCAAAGGATCCTGGCTGTGGCTTTTAGATATGGACTGAGGCTACCAATTCACTGCACAGCTGTCAGATGGGAATTATGTTTGAAAAAGGGTTTTCAAAGGAACCTATGGAAACTGAGTGCCAAACTCCCATTGAGCTTCTTCAGAAAGCCCAAGCTTGGACACTGCTAACCCTGGGATGAAGTGGAACTGATCAGCCAGGATATGGAACCTTTCATTTCAATTAACAGTCATCTGAGTAAGGAAATCCCACCCACCTCCTGGTAAAATTTTAATGAAATACACCATTCACACTATCACTTTCTCCTTCTGCCAAGTTTTGTCACTCTGATATATTCCTGTTCTAAGCTGCTCCTAGAGAATTAATGCTACTGGAGCACAACATGAGAGTTCCACAAAAAAGGGAGTTCTCAGAATCGAAGCCCAGTGGTCAAGGCATTGGTGACATGACAGAAAACGAAGACCCAAATACCATGGATTACCCAGGGGCTTAAAGTACAGGGTCTTGAAAGTTTCAACAGGACAATCTCCGAAGCATTTCTTTAGACTATTTTCGGTAGAAAAATGCTTCCAAGAATACTCCATGCCATAGGGTCTGATGCTGAGAACAAATATATAGTTAGCAAAGCACCTGCTCTGACAGAAGATGTGGTACTTTTGTGGCCCATTACACACCATGGAAAGGGAAATGGAGACAGAACCCCTAACAAGGCACCCTTCTCTTCATAAGGGGAGAGAAAAAGAGTCCACTGGCCACCTCAAACAGGCTAGGAGTGGGGAAAAAGACACCCGCCCCCCCTTGTGTAAGGACAGGAAAGAAGAACTCTCCGAGAAGGGAATAGGAGGATTAGAGCTGGGAAAACACTGAAAATATTTTTCTTCAAATATTCACTCTGATTTTCAAATGTACTGGCTTTTGGCTGCATTTGTACCCCTTTTGCAGTCACCTTCCAGGAATAGTTGCACACTTAAGTTTCACTGGCATGAACATTCCTGGAAAGCCAATTTCAAAGCTGTATGCACAGAAATCAAAATTTAAATTCAAAACCATGGACAAGTGCACCAGAAGTGCTGGTGCACTCATTTGGCCAAGGAAGAAAAATAATATTCTGTACTGTATCTGACCAACCACAACTAACCAACACTCATATCATGAGTTTCTCACAGAGAACTGTTCACAATCAAATTGACAGTTTTAAAAGTTTGCAAAATATTTGAGAAAAATCATAATTGCTTATAGATATAGAGCAGAAAGATTCATTGATTAAATTATTTGCTCAGCTCAGAAGCTGACCAAACCAGCAAAGTATTTAGTCCTAAACTCAAATTATCACAACTATGTCAGATTCCTAGTATAAAGTCTTAAGTTTAGGAGCCACATGTGTTTCGTATAAACTCTTCACTATCATTTCAGCACAGTGGATGGTGAGATCTTTCAATAACCAACATTCCTCATTCAAACCTACCTTAAAACTTCTTGAATTAAAAAGTCAACATTATTTCCAGAAATTGTAGAGCAATTCAACAATGGCAAACAAAGAACTGAAAATAAAACAAAGCCCATGAAACAATATAGGCCCCACTCCCATACACACACTATTATGATGAGAAGAATGATGCAGATTGCAAGCAAGCACATAACATCCATGATTCCAAGTAGTTCATCTAGTTGGTAGAGAATCATTAATTAATAAAGTGACCCTACCTGTAGAAGTATGAACACCCCCTAACTGTGTTGTGAGTAAAATGTTCCTGAGTCTTCTCATTTCCAAAGTCCTCTAGGGGATCTGACCACAGGATATCACACATAGGTCCATATGCAGGTGGTTCCTTGAATCGATCTAACTAAGAAAAATAAGACAGAAATACTAACTTTTTACACTTTATTATTTAGGAAGTTAAAAAATATACATAGATTGAATACTAATTTGTTAATACTAGGCATCCAGAAAACATCCATATAAAACACATTAGTGATAAGCCAGTATTTCAGGGACTGCCAAATTGAGGCTCACAGCATACTACAATTTGGGTCCCAGCTGCTTTCATCTTTAATATTGTGGATACTTGGATGACAATGGAGCTCGCGCACCTACACCATAAGTGAGTCATATCTCTGCATTTAAAAGAGAAGGAGGGCAGATGCATTTTGATTTATTCTGTGCAACAGCAAGTGTGACTCTTTCGTTCCTGCCCTGCCCTGGACAAATATTGGGTGACCTGCTGTATTTTAGGACTACTCATCCATCATGAAACTTGACTAATGAAGCTAGGAACTTGTTAAGGCAAAATGATAATAGTCATACTGGAACAAATTTCTTTCAATTAAAATATATCTAATATCAAATTTTAAAGTACTGAGGCAATGTCTCTGCACTGTCGCATCTTGCTGCAATACTCTCATAGCTTTCATTAACTTCTACTTTAACCTTATTTAACTGCAGCAAAGAATCCCTCTTTCTTTCAGACAACCTGTTAAAAATTAGAAAAATTATACAGTCATACTGCAAACAAGACAAAGCATAAAAAACTAGGAGAAACATTAAAAATTGATATTTTTCAGCACAAAAACTATATATAAGAACTCTGTAAAAGATATGTTTATAAATCAGTCTGACAAGTCTACCAAATTCTCCACTCTTTCTTGGAAGCAAAAGGCAATATAAGTAATTTTTCATTTTTTCTCACACTCAATTAAAAAGTTTTTAATAAGAGAAGGCCTCTGCATTTCTACCGTCACATGCTCATCATGAAATATTCATCTCAAACCCACACTTCTAACTTGTTTCAGATCTCTAAATAATTCATGCCTTTGTACCTGTAATACATCAAAATAAAATAACACACATTCATAATTATGAAAAAACCTGCTGATTGCCAAGGATGAATAGACTTGTTAATGAAAAAAATTCTGAAAATGTTAATGACCCTAACCTGGAATTTAAGCATTAAACAATTTTAACCGACCATTTTGCTATGCTGTGAAAACAACGAATTTTTAGGCAGAGAGTATTTTTGCTTAATCAAAACTTTAGCTTGCAAATACAGCTTTACATTCATTAATTAAAATGCAGATAATGTTTTAATCAAATTGGTGTAAATGAAAAAGCTACTACCAGTGTATACATTTCTCACCATGATACAAAGTAATCCTGGCTATTATAACAATTTATTTAGTAGCTTCAAAGAATGAAGAAAATTGTGTATTTTTATTTGCCAATCCCCTTCAACAACAGGTGTTACACATGCGAAAATCCCTAAGTTTTAAATGTAAAATGAAAAATATTCATTTTAAATGGTTTCAATTTACACATCTGTAATATAAAATACTGCGAGGTTTCAGAGTAACAGTGTTAGTCTGTATTCGCAAAAAGAAAAGGAGTACTTGTGGCACCTTAGAGACTAACCCATTTATTTGAGCATAAGCTTTCGTGACCTACAGCTCACTTCATCGGATGCATACTGTGGAAAGTACAGAAGATCTTTTTATAGACACAAACCATGAAAAAATGGGTGTTTACCACTACAAAAGGTTTTCTCTCCCCCCACCCCACTCTCCTGCTGGTAATAGCTTATCTAAAGTGATCACTCTCCTTACAATGGCCCACCTTGATTATCATACACATTGTAAGGAGAGCGATCACCCCAGACAAGCTACCACCAGCAGGAGAGTGGGGTGGGGGGAGAGAAAACCTTTTGTAGTGGTAAACACCCATTTTTTCATGGTTTGTGTGTATAAAAAGATCCTCCGCACCCTCCACAGCATGCATCCGATGAAGCGAGCTGTAGCATGAGCATGAATTCAGCCTGTCCTAGACAAAGGAATGTTGTTTCACAGCCTTGACTGTGCCTCCAATGTAAATTAAGCAAAGTGTGACCTAATACAATGAAAAGCATATTTACATGCAAGGTAAAACAAAGCCATCAGACAAGCAAGTAGGGGGGAAGCTGATCACTTAATCTCAACAGGGGATGGAGCCTGCACCTATAAGAAGCTTTTCTGCCTTTTGAAACAGGGTCAATACACTTTGGCAAAATATAAACTGAGGCAAAAAGCCAATTTGTCATCCTTCACCTGAGAAGACAAAGAAACCAAGCACTTTGGGCTCTATATTGGATCCTGGCTAAGGACTGGCCAGCCATGTTGCAAGAGTGACCATGGTGAGAAAACATCTTTGGACAAAAGACTCTAGTTTGTCAAGTTGGATTTTAGTCTTAGGCCCCGTCTACACTGGCAAGTTTGTGTGCCGTAAAGCAGCTCTGAGCGCTGTAACTCCCAAGGTGTACACACTGCCAAGCCACTTAAAGCGCAGATGCAGCGCTCTAAAAAAACCACCCCGGCGACAGGCATAGAGCTTTTTGTGCCGGGGCTACAATGCCGCAGTGCCAGTGTAGACGCCATGGTGATTACAGCGCTGTGATTGGCCTCCGAGAAGTGTCCCAGAATGCCTGTTCTCACCTCTCTGGCCTTCGGTTTGAACTCTACTGCCCTGCCTGCAGGTGACCAAGCGTCAGCCCCACCCCGTACATTCTTTTGCAAATTTGAAAGTCCCCTTCCTGTTTGTTCGATGACATGTGTAATGGTCTCAGTGCATTTTTTCAGGTGGCCATGCCTGCTCCACGCACCAGGGGATCCCCCGCTTGGAGCAATGCCGAGCTGCTGGACCTCATCGGCATTTGGGGAGAGGAGGCTGTCCAGTCCCAACTGTGCTCCAGCCATAGGAATTATGATACCTATGGACAGATTTCTAGATGCATGATAGAAAGGGACCATGATCAGGACACATTGCAGTGCAATGTCAAAGTGAAGGAGCTGCGGACCACCTACCACAAGGCGCTGGAGGCAAACCACCACTTCGGTGCTGCGTCCACGGGCTACTGGTTCTATAAAAAGCTGGACGCAAGACTCGGTGGCGACCCCACCTCCACTGTGAAGGACCCTGCAGACACTTCATTGGCTTGCATGCCAGTTGAGAGTGGACTGAGCTAGGAGGAGGAAATCTTGGACGAAGAGGGGGAAGGGGACTCAGAGGCTGTGCAGTCAGGAGCTCTTTTCTAACATGGAAGAGCCTAGCCAGTCACAGCAGTCGGAGCTTGGCGAAGCGAAAATAGGAAAGGAGGCCGCTGGTAAGTGGATCTGATTTTGGGAATTGCTGCAGTGAGTTGTTGGGGGCAGGAGGGTTGCAGAAAGCAAGCTCGTCTCCCACCTCATGCCTAGTCTGAGTGGTGGAACAGGCTGTTGATACACTCCCTCACTTCACGGGAGTCTCTCTCAGAGATTCAGGGCTGCCCAGAGGATTCAGGGGGCCTGGGGCCTTCGGGGGCAGGGGTCCTTCCGCTCTGGGTCTTCGGGGCACTTCGCCGAAGACATGGAGTGGAAGGACTCTTGCCGCTGAATTGCTGCCGAAGACCCGGAGTGGAAGAAGCGGCGGCGGTCTTCGGCGTTGAGTCCTTCACTCCGGGGGTGTTCGGTGGCACTGAAGGACCCGCTCCTGAAGTGCCGTCGAAAACTCTCATGGGGGCCCCTGAAAACTCTCGTGGAGGCCCCTATGGGGCCCGGGGCAAATTGCCCCACTTCCCCCCGGCGGCCCTGCAGAGATCTCCAGGAAACTCTTGTGGAGATACTGGGCAATCCGCTGCCGCAGGTTCCTTGGCAGAGCTGCTTTTTTTTCTTGCCCCATTAACTTTCCCGCGCCACTGTGCCGTCATGGAGGGGTGAACCATTGCTGCACTCAGGCGCCAGGATGGAAGCCTCAGGCTTGGAGAAGACCCTCCCTTGATTCCCTGCTCACCCTCAGCAGTGAGATTCACAATGATCACCTCCTCTGCAAAATGTGAGGAAAGGAATGATTATCAGGCCCACCCTACAGAGCTGGCCCTCCCCAAGTGCCCAAGAGCCACGTGTTCAGTGTACTGCAGGGTCTGGAAACAGTGATTTACTCTGCCCCTGCAGCCCCTCACCATTTTGAGGGTCTTGTGGCTCATGTGTGATTGCCTGGGGCCAGCCAGTTAGTGACAGGTGTGAGAGTACTGGCTGTGTTTTAAATCACTGAATCAGTGTTGTCTGTGTTCCAAACAATACTGCTTCTGTAAAATGTTGCATTTAAACTTCAGAGATGACCTTGGAGCACAGCCTCCCTCTTTGTTATCAGCAGCAGAATGGCTGCACAGAATTAGAAAGCGTCCAAGAAGAACTAAGGAGCACTTTATGCGTGAGGTTATGATGCACCCTGCTGCTGAGAAAAAAGAATTCAAGGAGTGGCAGGACAGCGAGAAGATAGACCAAAAAGAGAATGCGGCATGCCAGAAAGAAGCCATTGAGCAGCTCTTAACAGTTATGAAGCGCCAAGTGGACATGCTCCAGGGGATACTAGCTCTTCAAACTTAGCAGCTCTGCGCCCGCCTTCCCCTGCAGCCTCTGTCGCGAAACTCTTTCCCATGTGCCCTCCTTTCCCCCACACTGCCAACACACTGTTATCAACCTCCTGGCTCCACTCTCTACCCGCAGCATTCCACTCCACCCTCCTCACAGTCCAGCAGTGTGGACTCCCACTACCCACTGCACTCAATATCATCCCTCTGCAGTTTGGCCCTGCTGAAGTCCAGCACCCGCTGCATTGTACTCCAAAGGAGAAGGTTGGGTATGATCCCTGGACATACACAAATCTGTAGCCGTCCTGGGACCCCTCCTCCTCTTGAGACCTTCCCTTCCCCCATCCTCCATCACCTTCCCTGCTGATGATTTTTTTCGTTTGACACTCTCCTCTGGTTGTTGTCTTTCAATAAAATAATTGTGTTTGTTTGAAAACAATCTTTATTCTATTAAGTGAAAGCAAAAAGAGCAT